AAAGGCCAGTGCAGATGAATTTTCTTCGAAATTTACTCAACTGGAACCCTCGACAAGTTAAAGTTTGATTCGCAAGCGGCGGTGGCGGCGGGATAATGTCTAGTTTGTCGGATCAGTCCTTTCGACTGTGGTCCTCGAGTGCCCTCTCCCTCATTCGAGCCGATGATCATCACAATCAGGACGTCCTGGTGCCAGCTCATGCGTCTCTTTCTTGGTGGTTTCGAATCTGCGTTATCCTCTTCCCAAGATGAACTGACTGCCCATTTCTCTGCCATCGACCATGGATAGGAAAACTGTGCATCTAGTTTTGATCTCTGCATCGTTTCATCAATGCTTTCATCTTACAACGCAACCACTGTGATAATAGTGACCGGAATGAAATGGAACAGCGTACGGAGATTTTCAATGGGGCGTTCCGTTCCATCTCTGATGCGCGTTGAGTCCACGAGATGTCACGGTCTCTGCATGGGCTTGCGTTGAGGTTACTACTTGTTGCGTGTCGTACTTCATTATACTCGCTGCCGGTCGGAATCGACCGACGTGCGTCAAGAAAGCGTTGAGACTCCGCAGAGATCCAGGGTGGGCGCGAAGTGTCAGACTACAACTATCGAAGCCAGCAGAATGCAGAGCATTCTTAACAAGCGACCAGTGCAGGTGTGGTTTGTTCTAGCTTCTCAGCTAGCGCGTTCTAAAATACAGGCTCGCTGATTCAGAAAACTTATCACAGTCTAACCGTCGTTGTGTCGTGCGTTTAAAACACCCACCGGAGCACATTGACCGCTTGGCGCAAACTAACGCGTGATCGGATTCGAGGGAAGTGCTTCAATACGAACGGCAGTCTTGAATGCGGCCCCGCCATTTGTGGTTTATCGCGATTTGGTTGATCTGAATTCGTCTGAATCGAGGAGGGCGGACGCTAAGTGGTGTACCAGCAGTTGGAGCTTCTGAAGTTCGTACTGGCGAGGAACAGGCAGAGGTCGGAACATAAAGCCAACACTCGTTTTCCGAGTGACAGGAATCTAGTTCGAAAGGATCTCCCAGGTGCGCCTCACTCGAAGTCAAGCGGCCTACTCTAGCATTCATATCTCCAGCTAAAATCACGATATCAGCCCGGGTCGCTTTACGCAAGAGGTCGTGTAGGTTATGGTAAAATTCATCTTTGACTACATCAAGGCTACAGTCCATTGGGGCGTACGCCGACACGACAAACAAGTTTCGTGAAGTGAACTCGAGAAGAAACGGCATCTAATATAGAACGGTTATGTTTATGTGCAAACTGGTTAATGTCATCGGAGGTGGTGAGAGATAACTGAAGGCGATACAGAACTGATTGCTCCATTCATTTCAAATCAGTGGAAGTGAGAGCAATTGTCCTTCGACGTTCCTTTTGGAATGAGAGTAATTCTCACCGGGCACCAGCACTCTGGAATAGTTCGGAGTTCGAGTGAAAGGTTAGCTGTGTGTGCAAAAATGTGAGACAGTGGCAGAGCGTCGTGTTTAAGAACGGTAGGACTTGATTTATCTGAACCAGGTGCGGTCGACACTTTTAGAGAACACATGTTTCTATGCATTTCACGTGAGGTAATGGGTTCAAACGAAGATGGGATGTTCGGAGGACTCGACTAAATATAACGGATATCTGTTGGGCGAAGAATGAATAAATGCAACATTCAGTTGTTCAATATCAATAGAGGAACTGGAAATCACTTTCTTCTGCCTGCAGAGTAGTTTAATTCCACACCACATAGATTTACAGTTACTCGTCCCAAGAAAACCGACTTGCGTAAAGGGAATTCAACCGTCTTGCTTCACTCTTGGTGAGAGAAGATAGATAGTTACATCTCAGCCCTTCTGTCACATTTAAATACACGTTCCTGCTGTCCATAGGACAGCATATGTAGGGATATCCACTTTTTCCTCATTGGTCTATTGGCTTTCTTGAACCAACCGCAAACTGGTTTGACTGTCCCAGCTCGAACCAATTCTAACCAGCTTGGAACAAGTTGGTACAAGAAAACAGATCGCCCAACGAGGAAAAAGGGAGTTTCACTATGATGACGAAGCAGCCAATCAAATCACAGCAAATGACCAATGGGATTGAGGGGACGCAAAGAGCCAATCAAAATCCCCGAAAAAAACTGTAAGTCGCTTCTCCAAATTTGCACTGATGATTTTGCCTAGCCTGGCTACGAAACTTCTGAGAACAGCACTTCCGTTCCGGAGAACACACCAACACAAATATCCGGATCCCGATTTGTGCAACGTAACCCTACTGTATTCTTCCTAATGAAATATTCGATTTACCTGACATTCCCGTAAATTGCTACATCAAACCAACTTCAAATTTTTTTCTCATTTTCATTTATTCACTTATCTGCTCGTCATCTGTCTTTCACCCCCCCCTCCATCCACCCTTACACACAGAAACCGCGTCAGGTCTCCCGTGAAGAAGGTGTCCGATTTGCCCGACTTTACAATATGCCCTACTCAGAAGCAAGTGCCAAAACCAGTGAGGGTGTGAATACCTTATTCCAAGACTTGGTCAATCGAATCTACGCGAAACCGTCCTTATGGGATCCGGATAATCGACGTCACGGCAGTCAGATGCGTTCGTCCAGTCGCTTGCAACTAAACCAATCAAAACGACCCGGTCTGGAGTGCTGCTGATCATATGATATCAGATCCATTTCTGTGAACTAGCCAGCCGGTTGGGTTGTGTACATCTGGCTAGAGTTTCCTGTGCCTATACATATACTGTTGTTATTTTTGCGATTGTCGTTGGTTTGTGTATTTTCCTGTGATCGCAGTGGCCTCATCTGGTTCAGTCTTTCTCTCCTCCCCCTCCCCGATGCCACTTGTCGTCCAATCCGGAACATAACATATCATTGTACTCTGTGCATTCTATATAATTTTGACATCCTATTGACCACATTGATTGTCCTTACATCACCAACGTGTGTCTCTCGAACCGCAGCTCGTCACACGAACACGGCTGGGCATGTGCAACGCAGACAAACAGAATCTCAGCCTGCAAACACTGGATGTCCATCACCCGCTCCGGTTCAGTTGTCTGTGCTCTCCCTCCCTCTCGTTCTGTCCAAGCATGGAAGAAGGCCGGAGGGGGGAGTCGAAGCAGGCGCATGATTTCGAACTAGCTTTCGATCATTCCATCGGCCTTTGGATGTTGTTCACTTCCTTTCCACTCCGTTACCCCTTCTTGTATCGGCGGTCGTGTGTTGTTCTGGTTCTCCTTCCACTTGGCTGTGCATACTCATCCCTTTTTATCGATTCGCATCAACCATTCCTACTCATTGGCCTGTGTGAGTAGGATTATTTGGACCATTCCGTGTCTTTTTTTCGATGACCTGTTTTCCCTACGGACTCGGGGTTTGATACAACAGAGAATAAGAATTGCATTCCTGTTTTCCATGTTCCTGTGGTATCACACGCATAAGTCATTCTCCACAATCTATACTGTTCCTTTCATCTGGTACTCACTTCCCCGCACACATCGCGGTTCACCTCATGTGTGCCGTTCCCCTCCTTACCGTTGTTCTATCTTTGCGGTCAGTCGCAGTCACTGCTCACGATGCGGTTGGTTGTTTATGCTCTCTCTCTTCATAGTTTTTCACAAACGTTCTCCATGAAGACAGATTAAAAGTTTGACTGGTTTTTGTTGTTGTTGTTGACGACGTTTCGGTTCGTTATGTTTGACTAATTAAAAAAAACTACAATAACACAGGATCCGGTCTTCGTTCTCATCATCCTTAAGGTTCCACTGGAAAACGCACTTGTTATCCATATGAGACGGGCTTTTAGGTTAGCGCACAGATTTCACTGAACGAGGGAGAGAACCACAAAGTGGACGGTGTCATACCGTGTGCGTTGGAACATAGATTGAGGGGTGGTCGATTCCTTGCGCAGTTTCAACTAGTGTGGTCAAGGTTATCACACTCCAACGCTTCCTACAAATCTGGACATCGGAAGGTCTTTTATGATGGTTCGTGACACATGCAACATCACTCCTGTGAAGTGTTGATGAGCCTTACTGCAATTTGCTCGAGATCCCACCAGCTTCTGTGTTGGAATTTCTTCGGAAAGATCCAGACATCCCGGATCTAAATCATGGACCCTCTAGGCTGGTCACGACACCGAACGCATAAATCGACAAGTTTTGTTCCAAAAAGATGTTCATTGCTCATGGACATAGAGCAAAACGGACAACAATATGAGTATCATATCGTTCACCACTGTCAGCCCGTCATTAACGTAGGTCGATTGCAGTATTGGGTTGCTAACAGTGGCCTTGGAAAAGTCCAAGTATACGGCACAATCTGTTCGGTACTCCGATAGTTCGGAATTTACAGGGCGGCTGATGTATGTTGTCTCGGATTCTCGACGTAAAGGAATTCATG